TGTTAAATAGAAACACGACTTTTAATCAATCAGCGCGCGTATTTTTTTCGGACTGTTTTCTAATATAATATAATAAGTTATTATTACCGTAATCACAAATGGAAGGTTGCCAGTTCCATTTTCAGTCCTTATATCCCGTCGATAACTCATTCCTGAAGTCTGTAGGAACTCGCCCAGCCAGGAATAGAACACCTCCTCGTTAGTAATTTTCCCTTGTAAAAGAAGAATAAGGATTAAACTAACCCAAAGGATAGTTGCTAGGAGAACAGTCCTGTAATAGGTAATAGTCCTGTAATAGGTGATTTTAGGTGTTTTCGTGCATGCTCGCCCTAGCTTTGATTGGTTAATATAAATAGGCTGGTCTGTTCGAGTGCTTCAACGAACATGTGCCTATTTATACTAAATTATTCGCTCTAGATTTCCATGCGTCGTAGTTGACTAAAGCTGTGCCCTCGCCAACTATCACACGATAGATATCTCGAGGTATGGTGTTTTTTACAAAAATATATTAGTGTAACGACTTTAGTACTTACGTTCTTTAATATATTTTCCAGGCTTCTTAACAATTGCCCACTCAATGAACTCCTCGTACCAACTATTTACGGAGCTGGAAACTATATATTCCTTGTCACTGACTGCAATTTCGCGGAGTTTGTGAAGTTTGTCTTGTTCTTTGAAATAGTCAAACTTTCCTGTGAGGATTTAGAGAAGAGGCATAAATAATTATATAGATCCTCAATAAGTACTTGTATGGATATTTTTCTGTGGCTCAAATCTTGCTGATACTCGTTCAGTTCAGTTCCAAATTGCAACAACGGGTTCAAAAGCAAAGCTGCTTGTCCCGATTATCTGGTCGTTTGGACTAAGCTTTTTTAGGGTCAAAAGAAAGTGGCCGCTATACGTCTTTACAGAGTCAATGGTCATTACGTGACAATTTGCGATTAGATTTCTCCATTAATCAATGGTGAAACGAAATCAGAAACACTCTCCTACCTAAAAAAAAACCTTGCTTATCTCTTATCTCACCTGTGTATATTTCCACTGGGACCCCATGTACCGGAAAATACTGTAACGTTTCAAAAATAATATCACAATTATCATTACACGAACCTAGTCTCATATGTGCTTATGCAAAGTTCTTAGAGAAAAGTCTACGCGATGCATTAAAAGGTAACGTAAAGGAGACAGACAGACAGATAGATAGACAGACAGACAGACAAAGACAAAGACATACGGACAGACAGACGAGCAGACAGATAGACAGACAGACATATTTAAAATAAACAAACAAACGAGCAAACTGAAAAAAAATGTAGAAAATTTACCTCAGAATTAGCATGGGTATACTTGTAAGTCATCGAATCAGGAGGCAAAACCCAGTTTTGATCAAAGTACTGCTCTAGCTGTGTTGTGCCATACAAGTTAACACCAAACATTGCTAGTGTGATGATAATGACAACAACCTGCAAAAAGTGTTATTGAAAAAAAACAAACATTACCATTAAGACGACGGTTTTATTTAATTGTTAGCACTGATTCAACTGCGAGCAAAATTCACAAATTCAGTTTTATGCAAGAACTATACCCGAGTGGAACTCCCTGCTGAAGAGATAGACCAACCGAGTATTGAGGCGTTTAGGGCAGTCTCGTCTCTTTTATCTCAATAGTGACCTAGTTCTATTTATTTCTTTTTTTTCCTCTCTCTTTTACATCTGCGGTGATGGGTAAATCTCTTTGCAGATTACATATATTAATGTAGATGTTACAGGCGGCTCATTTAATATGCTGATATCCGGACTGGCCATCAATGAAAAATGTTTTTTGGGTGAAAGTAGCAAAACATTTCGTACAAGCAACAATTGGGAGAAAATAAAGTTATGCGCCACGAGCAACCCAGGGAAAACTAATGAAGGACAGAAAAAATATTATTATCTTACCATTAAAAAATTCTGTAAGGAGATTTAACTGAAAACAAGGCGTTCAGATAGGGAATTCCGTACCTCTCCGAACAAATTTTCTAAAGGTCCGTCCCGAATCTCACCAAAGAATTCCACAAAGGTGAACCAGACCCTCTGTCAGTAAAATACCCTCCCCTCCCATGTGCAAGAAACCTCTCCCCCTGACACCAAAGCCGTGCACAAAACCCAGCAAAATGACGCAACAGCTCACTAACGAGCAAACAAAGAGACGAGTAATGAAGCGCCCAGCGAGAGAGGAGACGGTAAAATAACGAGTGAGCAAATGGTAAAAGAATGGATGGCCGATGATTAGGGGAGAGATTTATATCACTCTTGCAAATACTTACCTTTCCAGGAAGAGATAGCATTATAGGGCCAATGTATTTATTCATACACTTTCTTAGTAGACTTCTTTTTGCAAACGAACTTTCCCTGTAATTATCGGGCAAAGCAACGCAGCAGCAACAGCCATCTCTCCTCTTCTCCTGCCTGTGCAACGAGAAAAGAGTAAGCAATTAGAGTTTTATTACCAACTCGGACTATTTTAGGGCCGTTTGCAACTGAGTGGAAAAAGTTATCTTGAATTTCTTTGGTTTCCCGCAATAACGTTCTGTGATTGGTCTAGGAAATTGCGCACTACTTATTCAACCAACAGATGCACCACCAACCGCGACTTGCGAGTGTTTTTCCGCGCTTGACGCTGGTCACGTGTATTTGGATAACGTTCTTATTCGTTCTTGTTTTCTACGTCCCCAATGGTAAGCTTTTGTCTTTGTTTGGATTTTATTCTTACAAGACTAGAAAAGGATCAAAGGATTGTGAACTTTAATCTTAAAGGATCTCAGTCAGGGTTTGCGCATATTGAAAAGTTTAGCCTCAATTTTTCAAATTCGTCGTTTGTAATCCGTGTTAATCTTCTCCATCTTTAGCCATCCTTGTTCCTTTGTGGTTTATAATTATGTCTTTGGTGTTTTTCTATCTTGTTAAACTGTTATTTTCAGGTTTCCTCCATTTAAAGGTAATTTTGTATGTGGCCAAAAATAACTCGAAATACCGTGACTGAGCCCTTTTAAAATCTCTTGTCTTTCAAAGTATCACTCACTCAGTTAAAGTGAACAAGAAGAGCCGACCTTTAAAACAGTAGTTCTTCCTTGCAGTCAAAAACGAAAAACAAGGTTTCAGGTTTTTGCGCAAATATTTCAGCGTGACCATTTTAACGAGTTTAGTTTCCTGATGAGCAAAATAGTAGCATGGACAATACCTTCGCGCGTCGATAGCCAGTAAAGCCGTAAATAAAGTAGCTTGAAGAATAAAGTCTGCTAATATTCCTGAAAGAGAAAAGAAACCCCATCAATAATCAGCAGGCGCAAGATAGTTTTGAAATGTTGAGGACCGTAAGTCTCATCTTAAAGGAACTCAGTCACGGTTTGCGCATATTGAAAAGTTTAGCCTCNTCAGGTTTCCTACCATTTAAAGGTAATTTTGTATGTGACCAAAATAACTCAAAATACCGTGACTGAGCTCCTTTAAAGGGCGTGGAAAAAGTTGAGAAAATAAGAGATGCACCGACGACAAAATCACATACCTATTGCAGCAAATATACAGAATGATCTCAGTGCCGGTAAAATCTGCAAAAAGGTACGATACAACCACAATAATTCAAAGAATATTCTCGTTTACATGTGCCATTCGTGAAAGATTGTAAGAACTAGACAAAGCTGTGGAAACTCGTGTTCCCTCATCATTTCCCATTCTCTGAAACATCCACTGGTGCTGCTATAACTCAGTAGAAAGACGGAAGTTGTTTTCCATTTCTTAAATAGTTTGTTTAAATGATTAGAAAACTGCATAAGACAGTGACGTCACCGACTCTCGATATCTGCTACTTACCGTGGTTGATCCAATTAGGAAAGCAAGGAAATCTGTCAAAGATGTGATCGTTATAGAACATCCCTGCAAGAGAGAAAGGACAATTCCAGATTAACTGTCACCAACGCAACTCATAATGCCTTCCTTAACCGACTGTGGGGCTCCAGTGGGGCATCTTGATGTTAACCGCTGGTTAAAATGGTCGTGGTCGTTTGCTATGAAAATGAGCGTAGCTACAGCTAAGCTTACAATTAAATTACTTACAGCATGTTGAAGAGTAAGTCCCATTCGTTCTGATATCGGCTGTGTTTCGCGTTCTTTCGGCGACAAGTTGCTCCACGCTTGTACAATAACAAACATGTCATCGACTCCTATACCTGCAAACAAACACAATAAAAGGAGTTCCATGATCAAAGTGATTCTTCCACGAATGTGAATAAAATTAACTTCTGATCCAGGAAAATGTAAAACATTATCTTTTTGGATCTATGTTTTAAGAGGCAGTGTCCATCCTGATTATGAGCATCGGAAGTTCTCTTTTCTAACAAATTTCCGTTCTACATTGCTAAATGGCAACGTATTTACAAATAAACTGGATTAAAAGATTCCACTGAGCAAAGTATAGCAAGCATTTTCGGAAAGAAGTACAAGATTACAAAGATGGAAGTGGATTGTAGTTCAACAAACTTGATTTTGATACTATGAACAAATCAAAATTGCCATTCTGGTAAAATGTGAATCTTCCAGTCGTCGTTTTTTTAATTCTTTTCAGTTGATATGCCATTGCTTTAACCACTGGCCACGCTTATATTAAAAAAATAGGCATATGGCCCTTATTAAACGCCTTAACTTAAAAAAGAGGTGCATCTCTGTTATGTCTCACTTTTTTTTAATGTTTGGATTCTTACCAAGTAAAAGAAAAGGAAGCGAAGAATGAACCGGTCCGTAAAAAATTCCAAATGCACTCGCTAGTCCAAATGACACTGCAATGGCTAAACCAACACAAAGAACACCCAGTAAAGCGAGCCAGACCTGTTTACAGATAAAAAGGAAATCATCATTTGAGGACAACCTAAATTATTACCTTATTTTGCCCTTTTTAGTACCTATTTCAAGACAAGAAACCACACGAAACGACGGATTTTCAGGAAAAGTTTTATCTATGTAATACCAAACGCCACCTTTTTAAAGTTCAACGTATAGTTTCAAAATGTTACCAATCAACTCGTTTTCATCATGATTACCCCATTTTCTAATATGTTTGCGTGAGGGCACGTTAAAAGATATATTCTTCAGGTTTGCCCTTATCACAATCCGTTTTCATCTTCACGATGGATAATCATCCCGGCTCACGAAAATGTAGATATACTACTTGCCTTTATGTTCATGCGGGTGAAGTTTCCAAGCACTATTGACACATAGACGATGATGAGCACATATCCCCCAGAGAGAAGTAATATGTCTCCTTGAATACTACGGTCCGCGTCTTCCTTGTAACTACAGCACAACAAAAATAGTGACATGAAACGGTTTTCAGTTGAGTGTCGTTACGATGTTATTAACCAAAATCAAATTAATCACTCTAACCAGTCACAAAGAACACAGACAATTGAGCAAACCAATCAAAACTCGAAGTAATCACGTGTAGTTGATGCAAAGCGCGGGGAAACGTGTGGAAACGAGTCACGATTGGTTTTGGTTTTACTTCTGATTGGATGAAAAAGTCGCGCGAGTTTTTTAAGGCAGTCGTGCAGCGTAGTTGACGCAAAAACAATTACGAATTGTTACAATTACTGTAACAATAACAATATAGAACGAATGGTTCCTACTGATTATTACACGTCAACTTTTCTAATTTTTTCTAATATTTTGCGCTTTTGCAGTGTTGTTGATCCGCGCGAGCAGCTTTGATTTTCCTCCGTGTTCCAGTGGGACTCTTAAAGTTTAAGAATATCAGTTCTCATAATTCATCACGTTCAAACAACGGAAATCACGACCGTTACGGTGTTTAGATGATCAGATCTCAATTATTAGCATAGATTTTTGCGATTTTATTTCTCCGTTTTTTCCTTAGTTTTTGTTTCGATTGAGACAGTGTATTACCACATACTTTTCCAAACACCTTGAAGATGGCCAAAAATACTCCACTGCGCGTCGTATTTTTAACTCTCTTCGCGGTGTTTGGAAATGTGGTCAGATACGGTCTTTCATGTTAGATATCGAACTTCAAAATCGAAAAAAGCTTAAGTGAAACCATGTAAATCTAAAAATTCATACCAAACTTCTGTCATGTAGAAAAGCTCCATAGATGATGTTACGGTCATATCCATCAATTTGTTAAATTCTTTTTCCCAGTTTTCCACCACTTTATCTTCCTGTTGACAAAGTTTTAAAATTAATCAATTCTTTCATTAAATTTCACCCCCTTCCCCAAAAAAAAGTTATGAAGAAGGCCGTGCTGGCTTGCTATTGGTTGGACAGTGTATGTGCCTAGGTTGGAAGTCACAGTAATTGTCATTACGTTGTATGTATAGAAAGAGATTTTACCCTTCTACAGTGCCAACCCGGACGCACAGGTATATAACTGAAAACTGTTGGGAAAGTCTTGCAAAATGCTGTTGTGAAGTTGCGATAAACTAGCATTTGCCTAGTTCCTAGGCCTCGATATTTCGCCTCGATCAATCGTTTTCGGGTGACCTGGCCAGGGCTATTCGCCTCGGATACCTCAACGAAATCAATTGATCGTGAAAGCCTGAGAGAAAGCAGTACAGCTAGGAACAACGTAAAACTAGCATCACAACGAGTGAGAGAGACAATGTTGCCAGTCACTTCAAGCTTTATAAGCCTAGTCTTCAGCACCTTGCCAGCTTGTGTAGCGATCATTAAAAAGAAAGTCCTCATATGTAAAAAGAAACCCTCACCACTGAGGCGAGACAACGCATGGTATTATAATGGGATGAATAACGATGGTAAACAAATCAGTTGATATTGAAGTTCAAGAAATGCTTTGGAGCTTACCAGACGTCCTTCTTTTGAATTTAACTTGGGGTTGAATCTTACGCCGTACAAGATAGTTGTAGCTTCAGCACCAACAATATGTCCCGTGGAGTTTCGCTCGATTCCGCCAAGACATTTTGATAGCACAAACCTTTTACGCGTCATGGGACTAGAAATGGTGAAAAGAATGATTTGAAAGGGAACTCCAGCTGTTCTTTTTTTTATTAACTACTAAAGTAAAGAAAGAACTCTGCAAACTACGACATTTACTTTGTCACAAAATCACATTTCGGCGATGAATTTACTATCTTATAATTATATTCACTAAATCAGGTGCTTATGACTAGGAGTGAAGTTTATACCCTAACCGTCATGCAGCACGTGCACACAAAGAGCTATTTTTAGCCATGCTTTCCGGATCCACACGAACTGCGTTTCGCTTGGCTTAGAACTTTCGTTAAATCAATGTGGTGATTCGCTGCTCTTAAATCAGAGTCCAACGTCTTTCAGGAAAAATTGCAAAACATTGACTCTAGGTCATTTCTCAAAGTCGACCATCCTACATAACGCTCTCAAAAAAGTCTCTAAGATGCTTGCGAACACACGTTAAATCTGAAGGTATTTTACCTTATTAAGTTCTTTTCGTTAATCTTCCGCAAGATGTCCTCTTTAGTAAGCTTGTCAATGGCAGCTTTATTAAAAGCCCAGAGCTCTAACAAACCACTAACAAAACAAGTTGGGCCAATCCTGAAACGCAAAACAACATGACAAAACACGTCAGCAAAATACGTCGCTCCGTGAATTTGGCAGTTTTAACGTTCTTCTGGGATCGCTTGGACAAACGCGAAAAGGTCATTCAAAACCTGCAGAGAAAAACAATAGATCAAGATTTTTTTGTCGAGTTCCTAGCTTATAATGAAACTTGATAATACAATTCTCCTCGATGTTTGTTTGTGTAAGTATGGTATTAGCAATGAATCTATTTCCCGGCTCTAATCACGGAAAACAAACTTGGAATTTGAAGCTATTATTTATAGAAACTGTTTCTGTGGCATCATGTTTCTCCCTTTTATCATAAAAGATCCTAATTTTAGATACAACTGTACAAAAGACCCTTCTTTCTCTAATCCCCAGGCCTTTGCAACTGTATACAAGCATAGCTTAGACACTTTTAGAGCCAGGTAATGTTTACTAATTTGACCACTCGGACTCATCTTCAATGAACTAAGTGTCACCCAGGCACAGCCGAGGGGACTATCACTCGGAAAACGAGCTAGTGTTCTACATTTGCTTTAGAATGCATTCTAAAGGTTAGCAGCCCAAAACCTTAAGGCCTGTCCAAACGGGAAATGTTTGGCGACCAAACATCATCAAACCTTGTTTGGTGACCAAACATGCTTATGTTGAAATGAGTGGCCAAACGGTTAAAACAGGTTTGACCAAACACAGATCAAACTATGGATTCAAGCCGCTGAGCAAGCGTGGTACGCATGCGCGCGCCAAACATGTTTGATACGGCTGTCCAAACGAACAAAACATCGCCCATCAAACACGAGAACAAAAGAAATGTTTTAAGTTGTTTGATCGAATGTTTAATGGCCTTCAAATTTTATCAAACACGATCAAACAGCACCAAACAAGGTGGCCAAACGGTAAAATGTTTGGTCACCAAACAATGTTTGATGGTCTTTGGTCGCCAAACATTTCCCGTTTGCACAGGCCTTTAAATTTTATGCATTTTTAAGGCGAAAGCCTCGAATACTTTTTCCTTTCAAGAGCAAGACGAACACGATTGTAATTTTTTGCAACAGCGAATAAACAACAATGGCAGAGCCAATCAGGTTGGCAGATTTACAATCGGACATTCTGAGAGGCTACTAAAAGGGGAAATCTGAACCTTATTTACATTTGTTCTTATCTTTACGTTTGCTCATTACCTGAAACAAATGTTATCCCAAGATTGTTTGGTCCCTTTCGAGATTTGTGTTATCCTGCTGTGAACCACTAAGGCCTGCAGCAAAGGAGACAATAAATAAACAAATTCATGACCGACATTATATAAAACAGAGATCGATGCACAAATCTTTCGTTCTAATTAACAATTAGCTTATGAGCTCGAGATTTATATGAGGTGATAGCGGTTGTGGTCGAAGTCTGAATCAACTATCGAGAGCGAATATTCTAATTTGAACTGAAAATTCACCTTACAAATAACAATCTCCACTCTAAATAGTATTAAACTTTGCCTTTTAATTAACAAAAAGCCCCGGATTGAACTGTTTGAAAATTGCATTTTCGTAGACGCGCATTAGTTTTTTTCAACAATTTCGAGCTTTTAAAGTCAAGAAACCGTAAGCAACCTTCTTTGAATATTTCAGGGATTTATTTACTATTCCTCCTCCTAAACGTCGGAAAAACGAGAAAATATCGCCATTTTCTAGACGACCCACAGCCACTTCACACCAATGGTGGATAGTATACGATAGCTTAGCCAATCAGATTGCAGAAATTGCAGAATTTGCAATAGTGCTCAGCCAATCAGATTGTAAAATTCTACTAATTAAGTTTCGACTTTTTGCCATCAAAACCAGCTGCGCTGTGATGAACTACGTTTTATTCAACGCGTTGGTGCAGCACATATGGAATGGTCTATTGAAGAAGAAGAACAGAACAACATTTGTAATATTACCCCTTGAAAGTGGAGATAGGAGTGTTCTTAACTGGAGGTTTCCGTCTCGCAAGCACCCTGCCAGGAGTAATTGAGTACAAGACTGGCAACCGCCCAAGACCTAATTTAAGACCACTTCTTAGCTCATATCCTCAAGAAACTTAAAAATAATATTTTTAAGAAAACCGGCTACTTATCAGTTCACATGCTTTAGTATTAAGCCTTACTAGGGAGAACACTTGCATACAATGGTTCCTTATCAACTTACCTCTTGCAAAACATCAGGAGTAAGGACATCCTTTGCCACAAGCAGCACAGACGAGACGCGCAATTCAGCTGGGAAGTGTTTTTCCACCCATTCCTTGTGTCGCTGGGCTATCGAGTCCTCTGGAGTCCACAGTTTATCTGCTCGATTCTCCTGCGTGAACTTGAAGGCACCTATTAGGCACCCTCCACAAATGGCTAATGAAATAATGATTGTAATCCAGGGACTTCCACCGACTGCCTTTCCTAGGCTGAAAAAAGTCAACAGACATATCATTTTGAAGAACTTTACTAAAACCGCTATGTCTTTTGTGTACTACATTTTCGGTGGTTTCTGTCCATACAGAGGCGGCAGAGCGTTTTGAAACATGGAGGGGCTCATCATTAAGTCATGCGCATGTCTCTACTTGTATTTTCCAAAATGTCTTTGTTCGTTTGCACAAACAAACTTCTTTGCGATGTCTACAGTGTTTAATGTAACCGTAACAGACTTATAACAATGCAGAAGGAGGCAGTTGTTTAGACGATTCTGCTTCATGGTGCTTCTTCTAACTAAAGGGGGTCTTTAGTCTTCGTAGGGCAGAAAATGTGCACTCAGAAGTCGTCGATGCCACATGTAATGCCAAATACAATCTTAACAGTTTGTGGACCTCTCCTAGAAACGTTTTGGTAACAGCAATTTCGTTGAGTGCTTCGCAAAAGGTTCAAAACATGAGGGGGCTGAGCCCCTATCACATTCATGAGAGCTACCGTGTATAAGGGTTCGTTATCTTTCTCCGCAGATGAAATAGTATGTAATCTTTCATTTTCAGTCACTTGCAAGGTTCGTCAAAGTTCGCGCTACAAGTACGTGTGCTGTCGTTTTTAACTTTTTTGGAATACCTGTAAAACGTACGCAAGCGCGAACCTTTTTACTCCGTTGTTGCTCTGATGAAAGTGGACAAAAGCCACCAAACATATAAGAAGAATGTCTATTACCGAACGCAATACTGGTAGCAGAATTTTAATTTAGGCATGTCATTGTATATGTCTGCTTCCATATTACCGCTCAGCTTAAGTAAGAAAGCCTGACGGAAATCCTGGTTTTAAAAAAATATCTTGAATTACAATTGAACTCTAATTTTAGTTCCCGGGGAACGTCATTTCATTTTTTTTTTATTTTTTTTTTTATTATCATTATTATTTTTTTTTTTTTTGGCATCTTTTTACTCAGTGCTAGTAGAATCAGCGTGAAGTTCGTCTTTTATCTTCATTATCCGTAGCGATGCGCAGTAGGTTCTTTAGCAACACCAACTTTATTAAGACCTTTGTCGGTCTGAAGTTTCGCAACCTGCTGTGGATTAATCGGTGGAAAAAGATTGGAATGTTAGTCTCAGTAAGCTCTTTGGTGTTGGCGCTTTACCTTCAGGTGCACAGAGACAGTACTTTCGGCGCAAGGAGTTTCAGTGATTTTGATAGTTCTTACATTAGTTTGCATTGTATTGCATTTCATTGCGCCCATGGCCTTTCATTACGTTTCACTCCGTTTCATAGCATAACATCGCATTTCTTCACATCTTAAAAGACCCAGTGGTTTTGATTACCCCATTGTTCTTAAATTACTTAGCGCTGCATTGCGTTTCACTGTGTTTCATCGCGCTTCATACCGTTTCATTGCGTTTCACTCCTTTACATTACATTACTTTACATCTTGAAAGAGACTCCCGGAATTAACGATTTCAAGTCGATTCAGAACTTAACTCTCACGAAACCAAACATCTGTCCTTAAAAACACAATCTACAGTCACTTACCGATAAAAACATTTTTCCAGTGAAGAGGTGATAAAATTGCTTAGTTCCCTTGGACCTTTGCAAACCGATCTGTTCTGTTCAGCTTCTGGTACTGGGGGCACGTCCATAGTGCAGTGTGAAGCACAAGTTACGCTTTGAATTCTTTTTTATTATTTTCCTTCTCAAACCTCCAGTACAAACATCAGTCTACTTGAGCAGATCCTGTAGAGAAAGGATTAAAAGATCGTATGTCATGTGAGATGCACGTTTTTTAAAAAATATGGAGGCTAAAATTTGCGAAATTTGAAGAATATTTTAAGAATAAACCCGAGGCTGAGATTTTAAAAACAACATAATTTTGTGTGTTGAAAATTTGTAAATAGAATACAATTATATGTTTTTACTATATATTATAAAATTCTTCCTTTCTCTAAACGGCAAAACTAGCCACTAAACAATAACAGCCCAAGCCGTATGTTCGATCTAATCAGTAACATTTCTGCATTGCCTCCAGGCTATCCCAACATTCTTTCAACGCCACCGAAGTCACCGAAGTCAACAGAAATTTCATACACTATAATCTAAGTGTATTCACAAGAATATTTTCAGCCTAATATCGGTAGAAAAATAAGAATATTCAGCCTGGACTGCAAAAACAATATTCTTATAAATATAAAACAAGAATGTAACGAAGCGAGTGTGGAGTGATTTTCCTAAGCTTTCTTGTTTCTTCACTGCTTTGTTTTTATTGAAATCCGTCCGTTATTGGATAAGAAGCTTTATGTAACACGCATTAAACCAATCAGAGGCAGATTTAGACCGTGTTGACTTCTTTTACTTTTCTCTTCGCCATGCGTTCTGAAAAACTCACAAGTGTTCGACGCCGGTCACCGTTCAATAACATAGTTATTTTTACAATGATAACAGTGAAAATTCTCCTATTTTTGGTTCACGAAATCGAAGATCTCCTAGTA